CACCCCTTAAAAATATCATACAAGAATGCTATACTTGGGAAAAACTCCCTTGGGTCTACAGCCTTTGTGAAATCACGAGAGAGGCTCCAGAAGAAAAATTATGTACCGGTACGACAACTACAGCAGCTGCGCATGGGGAACCAATAACGGAGCGTGGAAGATCGACCTTCCAACGACGACATCGTCCTCTCTCTGAAAAACCAGCCCATGTCGACCAACCGGTCCCCACGGAAGAAGTCGGTGGCGCTGAAGCAGCTCAAGAGGGAGCTGGAGGTCAACATGAAGCTGCGACGACCTCAAACCTCCTCTACAGATGCATATGTAACATCTGAAACATCTACGATATCTACCCCATCTATGAATTCTACTACGAGCTCGAGAACCACGTCGTCGACGACAACAAAAATCATGGCACCATTTGCCACCCCAGGAGAAAACACAAAGCTATGGGAAATGCCCTAGGATCCAATCAACGAGACGATCAACGGGTACAACGAGCAACGCTAACCACTTTTGCTCGAGGTGATGTGCAATGGATGACGCCTCCAAGCACTCGTGGACAGCGGAGCATCCCATTCAGTATGCGGCAAGGCAGCTCTCAAACGCATCAATGAGAAGTACACGCCTTCAAGCTTCACAGCTACGATGGGTGAGGGAAGCAAATTACAAGTCTACGGCGAAGCACCGTTACACCTGCAGATGGGTCCTCTTCGTTGGAAACTAACCCTACCCGTCACCAACATCAAAGGGCTAGACCTGATCCTTGGAAGAGACTTTCTGAAGAAGTTCAACCCTGAGATCAACTGGGTCACCCGCACGGCGAGTATCTACAATCAAGATAGAAGAGTTCCACTTCCGCGTTGGAGCAACACGGGAGATATTCCGGAGGAGACTCTTGCACGCTTCGAGAAGGACGTGAAGCGAACCATGGCAGGGTTTGTTGCACTAGTTACCAACGAGGACGAAGGAGAGAAGAAGATGCTCGAGCTCCAGAAACTTCTAGAGGAGTTCGAAGACGTTCTCCCTGATGACCTTCCAGACTAGTTGCTGCCATACCGAACCCACCAGCACGAGATCATCGAAGAAACTAGTTCAGAACCGACCTTCCGAGCCTCATATTGACTCAGCCCTACCGAGTTGGCCGACATGAAGAAGCACATCGAGTACCTTCTGGACAAAGGACTCATTCGACCATCAACATCACCATATGGTGCACTAGTGCTTTTCACACCAAAACCTGACGGAAGCTTATTCATGTGCATCGACTACCGAGCCCTCAACAAGTAGACAGTCAAGAACAAGTATCTGATTCCATGGATCGACGATCTACTTGACCAGCTTCGTGGAGCCACGGTATTCTCAAAACTCGATTTGAGATCGGGATATTGGCAGATCCAGATGGCGGATAACTCCATCCATAAGACGGCGTTTCGGACACGATACGGATCCTACGAGTACCTTGTCATGCCGTTCGGACTCACCAACGCACCCGCTACATTCCAGGTTGAAATGAACCATATTCTCAGTCCTCTACTCGACGAATGCGTAGTGGTGTACCTGGACGACATCCTGATCTACTCGAGGGACGTGAAGCAGCACATCGAACACCTACGACGCGTCTTCGAGATACTTCGCCGGGAGAAGTTTTACGTTAAGCTATCCAAGAGCGAGTTTGCCTTGAAGAAAGTTCAGTTCCTTGGACACATGGTAAGCGCTCAAGGAGTCCATGTCGATCCAAAGAAGTTCGAAGCCGTACGTACGTGGAAGACACCGGAGAACGTGAAAGAACTTCAGCGATTCCTTGGCTTTGCGAACTACTACAATCGGTTCGTGCCACAGTATGCGAAGATTGCAACACCTCTCACCAATCTACTGAAGAAGAATACACCGTTCAAGTGGGAGGATGTGCACCAGCAAGCCATGGAGCAGTTGAAGACCGCACTCACGTCCGCACCCGTCCTGATCCTGCCAGATCCAGAAAAAGACTACATCATCGAAGCTGATGCTAGCGACCAAGCAGTTGGAGCAGTCTTGATGCAAGACCAAGGGAAAGGACTACAACCAATCGCTAACCTCAGCAAAAAATTGCACGGGGCAGAACTCAACTACCCGATTCACGACAAAGAGGCCTTAGTGATCATCACCGCATTCAAGACATGGCGATGCTACCTCGAAGGGAGAAAGACCACGGCCTACACTGACCATTGCAGCCTGAAGTACCTAAAGACGCAACCGACCCTCTCCAGACGACAAGTTAGGTGGATTGACTTCCTCGAGACGCACTTCGACTACGACACCGTGTACAAGCCTGGACACAAGAATAAGGCAAACGCACTGAGCCGGCCTTGACACGTTGCCGCCATACAGATTGAGGGGATGAATCCGCTACTCAAGGGACTCTTCATGCGTGGGTATACCATCGACCCTGAGAATCCCTTAGCAGAGAAAGAAATTGTTGCAGTGGGACCACGACGTCGCACTACGCAAAGGATCAACAAAGATATGGGTACCCAACTACCCGCCTCTTCGGCAGTTGCTTCTCAAAGAATTCCATGACGTGCTCTACGCCGGACACTTCGGGAGTAACAAGACTCTTGCCGGGATTGCGAAAGTCTACTACTGGCCTCACATGGCAAACGGCGTGCAAAAGTTTGTCACTTCGTGCGACACGTGCCAGCGGATGAAAAGCAGTAAGCAGAAGAAAGCAGGACTTTTTCAGCCTTTACCCGTCCAGGAACAGCCTTGGCAAAGTGGTCAGCTTGGATTTCATCACCCGTTTACCACCTACCAACGCGGGGCATGACGCCATCCTGGTCGTCATCGACAAATTCTCAAAGATGTGACACTTCATTCCGACACATACAACCGCACGCACGGAGGAAACGGCACATCTATTCCTCAAACACATCATCTCACACCACGGGATCCCAACAACCCTTATATCTGACAGGGACCCCAAGTTTACAAGCAAGTTCTGGAAAGAGCTCATGTCGCTCATGGGGACACGCCTAGCAATGTCATCTGCATATCATCCCCATACCGATGGGCAGACAGAGCGCTTGAACCAAATTGTGGAACAACTCTTGCGCGCAGCGTGCAAGGACGACATTAACAAGTGGGACTTGCACTTGGCGGTGTTGGAGTTCGCCTACAATAATGCAAAGCATGCCGCAACAGGAGAGACCCCATTTTTCCTCAGTTACGGACGACGTCCACTAACTCCACAACAGCCAACAGTACCTGCAACTATCCAACCCGCACACGACTTCGTTACCACAATGTAGTAGCTTTGGGATCAGACACACAAGCGTCTACAGGACATACAGTCTTCACAGAAACGCTTGGCCGATCGCCGTCGAAGTGATCATACCATTGCGGTTGGAGACCATGTGCTTCTCGACACATGCAACCTCAACCTTGGTCACCTTCCATCCAAGTTACGACCTCGCTTCTGCGGACCTTTCCTCGTAGAAGAGCAGGTCACTCCAGTCACATTCCGCTTGCGCCTCCCAGTTACTTGGAAGATTCATAACGTCTTCCACGTGCAGCTTCTTAAGCCCTATCGAAATCCATATAAGCTGTACATGGGACGCCAACCTCCGCCGTCGCCTCCAGTCCTCGTGAATGATGAACCTGAGTATGAGGTTGAATCTGTGCTTGCACATCGTCAACGTCGGCATGGCGCCCTGGAGTTTCTCATACGTTGGAAGGGTTATGATCCTTCTGAAGACAGCTGGGTCTTTGAAGAAAACATGAGTAATGCCCGACGTTCTCTCCGCGACTATCTTGTCAAGCAGGGTGTTACATCTACCACCCAGCTTTAAGGGGGGGAACTGTGAGAGTACGTCGACGTTCGACATATTTCTCATTTTCATATTTTTACTCCATCTTATTCTCCTTATTTTCCTCTTTCATTTGCACTTTATTTCACCTCAATCGGACTACTATTCTATTTTCTAGAGCTTTCCGATTATTTCACTTATTTGGTATTTTCGACACCGACATTTACATTATACGGCACCGACAGTGGTGTACAAGGCGTAATCTTGCCATAATCCGAAGGGCCAATGGGCTTGCGTGCTTATGCGCACTTGTGATGATCTATTCTAGAAGAGCGCGTTCCCGAAGGTTCGGATTATCTATTGTTTCTATGTATTCTGAGTATTAATACGCCTTGTACTCACCTTTAGTGCAACATTCTCGAGTGGAAATTCGATCCTGTGACACTGCTCTCCAGATACTCTGGTACGTGTTGCTCTCCAGATACTTACGTGAAAAGTGATTTTTTTTTCTGTAACTAGGAAAGTGCTGCTCGCTAGGTACCTTGTTGTCAGAGCCCCACTTCCTCTCCTCCTTCCCTCCCTCTTGCCCACCTGCCTTTTTCTCCGATTTCCCGCCCACATTCTCCTACCTTTTTCTTCCCTGTGCCAATGCCACCCAACCACGCGTTTCTGGATTTAAAGATGGTTGGAAAGCTTGACAACCCCGACCAGCGTATCTGCGAGGATGTGAAGCACTTCGTCAGGACTTCCCTCAATGTAATATGCCTTACACGCTCTAGGCAAGCTGGTTGGTCTAGATCCGTCTAGGTAAACTGCAAGCTTGACAACCCTGATCAGCGTATCTGCGAGGATGTGAAGCACTTCGTCAGGACATCCCTCAATGTAAGAGCGTGCATCCTGGCTACTTCCGGTGTTTGAACCTGGCCTTTCTAGTGCGTTCTAGACACTCTGGGAACTTGACAACCCCGATCAGCGTATCTGCGAGGACGTGAAGCACTTTGTCAGGACGTCCCTGAATGTGGATCATGCATACTGGCTACAGCAGTAGGTGTTCGAACCTGGTCTGGTGACATTATACCGAGCTGACTTTTGAGTCGACTAAAAAATGTGAATCATGCATACTGGCTACAGCAGGTGTTTGAACCTGGTCGTTAGGGAGACAATGGGAGCTGCAGACCCCTGGGTGTGCAGCGATCTCATCTCATTCTCATGGAAGTCATGCAACAGCTTCCGGGTTGTCGGGTACAAGCTCCAGAGGAGCGCGGGGTTAGTGGCGAATGCGGTGGAGTGGAGGAGGGTGAGCGGGGATCGATGGGAGGAGATAAATCATTTTCTTTTGCAACTTTAGAAGTGATGCCGAGTGAGGGTGAAGTGGTAGGCGAGAGTGGTGGTGAAGAGGAGGGAGAGGACAAGTACGCGAGTGAGTGGTGTAGCAGTGGTCAAGTTGGGCACCCGCGTGGGAACCCCTTGGTGCGGAGGTCGCTACTGCTACTGCCACACTCTTCGCGCCTGCTGCAGCGGACACAGATGCATACTGGCTGCATCAAGCCTTTGAGCCTTCTCAAGCACATCATTCTTCTCCTTTCTCTCCCCCATGCCTCCCCTCCCCTCCCTCCGCTACCTTCCCATCCCTCCGTTGCCTTGCCCTCCTCTTCCCACCCCTGCCCTCCCTTCCACTGCTGGCCCTCCCCTTCCCTTTCTCTCCTGCCTTGCCCTCTCCACGCTGCTCTCGTTGTCTTTTGTCTGCTGCACCCAGATCATAATCACCCTTATCGAGAAGATGATGAATCTCGTTGCCTTTGCCTACGTTCTCTGGTGAGCCTCTCCTCTCCTCGTGCTGTCACTGTTGCTAGCAACAACTGCTAAGCCCTGTGCCCTGAGCTTCATGTTTGCCTGTGTTTCATACCCTTACGGTGGTCAGAGTGTCTGGCAAAACCACACATTCATTATGACAGCAGAACGTGCTCTTTGCCTCTGCTCTTTCCCCACAAAACCCTCCCTTCCTCACCCCCCCTCCCCCCCCTTGAGGCACCTCAAATGTCGTCTGTTAACCCAAGTTTTCTTTTTTCTTTCTTTGCTCCCTCAAAAGCTGAATGTGCTTTTCACCTCTGCCCTCTCCCTTCCTACCCCAGAGCCCCTTCCCCACCCTCCCCCCTATTCTCTCCCCCACGGGGACATCTGTCCCCACTGGTCTGGTTGCTGCTGGCCTGTGCGTTCTCAGGCAAGTTTGTGGTGGTCAGAGTGTGTTTGTGGCATGAATCTGTCCCCACATTCATTATGACAGGCCAACAGGGTCTTCACATCTTCCCTCTCCTCCCCTATTCCCTTCCCCCTTTTTCCACCATCCACCACCCCACAGGGACATCTCTCCCCCGCTGGTGTGGTTTCTGCTGGCCTATGCCGTGTCAGGCACGTTTGTGGTGGTCAGGGTGTGTTTGGCTTGTGCATGTTCACACCTCACCTCTGCCCCTCCCCCACATACATCCAACCAACCCCCCCATCCATCACCCCATAGGGACATCTCTCCTCCGTTAGTGTGGCTTCTGCTAGCCTATGCCGTGTCAGGCACGTTTGTGGTGGTCAGAGTGTTTGGGAAGCAGCTCACCATTCACATCTGCCTCACTCCCACACCCTCCACACCCCATTTCCATCACCCCACAGGGACATCTCTCCCCCGCTGGTGTGGTTTCTGCTGGCCTATGCCGTGCCAGGCACGTTTGTGGTGGTCAGGGTGTTTGGGAAGCAACTCACCTGGCTGCAGTTCCTGGTGAGGTGTGGTTAGGTGGGGTTAGGTGGAGTTAGGTAGGGTTAGGTGGGGTTTGGTGGGGTTTGGTGGGGTTGGGTGGGGTTAGCTTAGCAGCAAGCAGCGACCTTTGAGTTGGCTCAACAGGCGACTCACATGGCTATTGTTCCAGGTGAGGAGGGGTTAGGTCAGGTGCAGGCCTTAACAGCAAGGGAACAGTTAGGTGGTGTGAGGACATGGCCTTATCGATAATCGAACCAGCATGGTTACCAGGTTACGATTTGTTCTCTGAACCCGAAGTTAGTGAACTTAGAACTGGCACCTGGTTAATCTCTACCTCCCGTTTTGAACAGGTAGGACAATGAGAGACATTGCAATGCACCGCATCCCAACCCCATACCCCCCACTTTACCCCCGTCTGCCCCTCCAGGTCTCACCAACATGCGGATCTGGCGGCGGTACTTGCTGCTGGGGTGAAGGACCAGGGAGAGTCAATCACACCGCACTCCATCCCACCCCATTCATCCCCAAGCCAGCCCCACCCCATACCCAACCCACCCCACTCCACCCCTCCCTGCCCCCATCTTTTCCCTTACAGGGCTTTCAGCAAGGGGCATATCTGCATCACTCCCTCGTGCGAATAAAGGACATCGTGGATTCAATTTCACCGCACTCCACTGCAACCCATCCCACCCCACCCCACCCCGCCCCCAACTTTCCCCCTCCAGGGCTTTCAACGGGAGGCAGACCTGCGTTACTCCCTGGTGCGAGTGAAGGACAAAGTGGAGTCAATTGCACCACACTCTACCACAATTCACCGTTACCCACCCCCACGTTTCCCCCGTCCAGGGCTTTCAAAGGGAGGCAGACCTGCGTTACTCTCTAGTACGAGTGAAAGACAACGTGGAGTCAATCGCACCACACCCCACCGCACCTCACCCTATCCCACCCTACCTCCATCCAGGGTTTCCAATGGGAGGCAGACCTGCGTTACTCTCTGGTGCGAGTGAAAGACAACGTGGAGTCAATCGCACCACACCCCACCGCACCTCACCCTATCCCACCCTACCTCCATCCAGGGTTTCCAACGGGAGGCAGACCTGCGTTACTCTCTGGTGCGAGTGAAAGACAACGTGGAGTCAATCGCGTTCTATCGGGGGGAGGTGAAGGAGGAGGCGTCAGCCAAGGTGGGTGGTAGGTGGTAGATGGAGAGAGGTAGAGAAAACTACCTTGCTCGTTCGCCTCCCTTCGGCCACCTCAGGAAGGACAACGCGGAGTCAATCGCATTGTACCAGGGGGGGGTGAAGGAGGAGGCGTCAGCTAAGGTGGGTATAAAGTGGTAGGTGGTGGGTGGTGTGGAGCGTCAGCATTGGTAGGTGATAGGTAGAAGTAGACAGAGAGAGGTGACGTAGAGTAGACGAAGTTGCCGCCCTCGTTGGGTGCTAGTGAATGGCAACGTGGAGTCAATCGCGTTTACAGGGGGGAGGTGAAGGAGGAGGCTTCAGCCAAGGTAGGTGGGAGGTAGGCTGGTGGGTTGGTGAGCAGGCACAAAGGGATAGAGGAAGCAGTTTTTTCCTCAATGGGCACCTCAGGAGAGGACAACGTGGAGCCAAACGCGTTCTATGGGGGGGAGGTTAAGGAGGAGGCGCCAGCTAAAGTGGGTGGGTGGGTGGGTGGGTAGGTAAGTAGGTGCAGACAGAGGGATAGAGGAAGCAGGTCTTCCCTTGCAAAGAAAAACGTGGAGTCAGTCGCGTTCTACCGGGGGGAGGTGAAGGAGGAGGCATCAGCCAAGGTGGGTGGGTATGTGGGGGTCAGGTCGGTAGGTAGGTAGGTAGGTGGGTAGGTACAGACGGGTACAGGAGGCTTCCTCCTCTCCATACGTTTTTTGGGACTTTCAGGGTCTCAAACGCCTGTGTGTTAAATTGAGAGCAGTTCCTACTATTTGGCGTCCATCCCTTTGCCTTGCTGCAGTTCCACCTCTCCTTCACCACAGCCTCTCCTTGCCTTTGAACCCTTCACCCCTTCCTGGCCCCCTTGTCACCCCCAGTCCTTTTTGCACAGAGTCGCTCTCAACGTGTGCAATCGCCTCGTGCTGCAGTTCCGCCTCTCCTTCTTCATCAACTCCTTCTATTTCCCTTCCCTTTGTCTCTTTTCCCACCTTTCCAGTCATTCCTGCACCGAGTGGCTCTCAACGTGCGCAACCGGCTAGTGCTGCAGTTCCACCTCTCTTTCTTCACCAACCTCTGCGACTTCGCCACCATCTTTGTCCCCGCCGTCATCGTGGCACCGCGATACTTCTCTGGGGAGGAAAGTGCCGCCCCTTTCCTCCCCTGGGTCACCGTACCCATTTGCCCCACCCATCTCTCCTTCTTCACCAACCTCTACGACTTTGCCACCATCTTTGTCCCCGCGGTCATCATGGCACCGCGATACTTCTCTGGGGCGGTAAGTCTGCTGCCCCTCCCGTGTGGCCTCTCCTCTCACCTATCTATCAATTCACCAACCTCTAAATATTTGCCACCATCTTCGTCCCGGCAGTCATCGTCGCGCCACAATACTTCTCTGGGGCAGTAAGTTCCCCCCTTTTCCCCCTTTCCCCCCTTTCCCTGGTCCACCATTCCCCTGCAGCCCCACCCACCTCTCCTTCTTCACCTACCTCTATGAATTTGCCACACTCTTTGGCCCCCCCATCACCATCACCTCACGCTATTTCTCCAGAGCTGTGAGAGCTGCTCCTTCCCTCCCCTGGTCCGCTGTTCCCCTGTGGCCCCACCCACCTCTCCTTCTTCACCCACCTCATATCAACTTTGCCACCATCTTCGTCCCGGCGGTCATCGTCGCCCCGCGCTACTTCTCCGGAGCTGTAAGTTTCCTCCTTTCCCTGGGTGCCGTTCCCCTCTGGTCCCATCCCCACCTCTCCTTCATCCCCTTGTAAGTCTCTACGCGCCACCAGCTTTGTTCCAGCTATCATCATCGCGCCGCGATACTTCTCTGGCCCTCTCACTGTGCTGCCCTTCCCGTGTGGCCCCACCCTTTTTTTCAATTCGTTCACCTCAGATTACAGGCGATCTATGCCTTCAGCACCATCTCCCACGCCCTCACTCACTCCCTGGTCCTGAACAGGCCTTCACGTGCTCTCAACAGTTCCCTCCCTCCCTCCCTCCCTCCCTCCATCCATCCATCCTTCCCTCCCTCCTCCCATCTCTCTCCCTCCTTCCCACCCCACCTCCCACCCACCCCATCTGTCTCTCCCACGGTCCCATCCTAGGTGGAGTTTTGCGTGATAGCGCAGGCAGGCTATGCCTTCAGCACCATCTACCGCGCACTCACAGTCATTGTGCTCAACTTCAATCCTTCAGGTGGGGGCTGGGCTAACCCTCTTTCCACCCCTTTCAACCCCTTTCCACCCCTCGCCCCCCCTCTCCACCCCTCTCCACCCCTCTCCGCCCCTTCTCCCTCCCATTCCCCTCCCCCCATCCAGGTAGAGTTTGGCGTGATAGCGCAGGCGGGCTATGCCTTCAGCACCATCTATCGCGCTCTCACAGTCATTGTCCTGAACTTCAACTCCTTCAGGTGCTTTATCGGAGTCACTTTTGGGAAAGTGACTCTTCAGGTGCCTCTCCCTCTCTCCCCGACCTCCTTTCTCTCCCCGACCTCCTTTCTCTCCTGCCCTTCTCCCTCTCTCCCTCTTTCGCTGGATCACTGCGGGCCCCTGCTGACCGCTGGTGCCACCAGGTTGAGTTTGGGGTGATCTCGCAGGCCAGCTATGCCTTACACACCATCTACAAGGCTCTCAGTGTCATTGTCATGCACTTCCATGCTTTCAGGTGAATCCTCAGGTGTTTGTTCTGCTGTTTTGTTTTGGGTACATCAAGGTTAACATTGTGCCTTTTCGAGTATCTTCTCCTGTATCTATTCACGTACATATAGTAGAATTTTTCTATTTTCGGGTGTCCAGTCAAGTGACTCTCTAAGCACCTCACGAGTCATGTCTCTTTTCCGTTCTGAAACTCTAAACCCTCAGGTGTTTCTTCAGGTGAATATCTCAGGTTATTCCTGGGTTTGCATCTTTAGGTCGTGTGTTCTCCCCTTGGCATCCCCACTTTCTTGTTATTGACCTCTTGTATGTTTTTTTAGAATTCGCAAAAACATACACTGCATCCCCACCTTCTTGTTATTGACCTCTTGTGGTCACATGCGTTTCCTCCCTTCCCCTCTCTCTGCCCTTCCCTCACTACACACAGTGAGCTGGCAGCAGAGACAGAGCGTCAGGAGAGCCTCTTGCTCTCGTCCCTCTACCCTCTAACCCCTCTCCCTAATTCCCCCTCCTCCTCTTCCGCCGCCTCCTTTTCCCTTATTTTCCACACACAGTGAGCTGGCAGCAGAGACAGAGCGTCTGGAGAGTCTACTCGCCTCCCTCTCCGACTTTGCAGCAGATGATGACTCCAGCAAGCTCTTCTCCCACGCCCCCTCCCACGCCCCCTCCCACGCCCCCTCCCATCCTTCTGTTAGGGTTGGTTCGCCCAACCACGGAACCTAAGGCGAAAGCATCTACGACGGCGGAATGACGGCGAAATGGAAGCGCGTGTGTGAAACGGTGGAAATCGGCCTACGGTGGGGAATAGATGCTACGGCGTGAGAAGCGGGAGAGAAATCGAGAAGAAATGTGCTAGAAGGAGGGAGAGAGAAGGAGAAGCATCAAGAATGAGATTGACGAGGGGAAAAATGTGCTTCGAGACCAAGGCGCGTTCGAGAAAGTTTGGGATTCGGACTTGCGGAGTGATCACCGAATTTGGTTTGGTTGCGTGTGCGACTCGGGGTGAAACGAGGCGCACGCGGTTACTTGGGAAACAAGTGAAGTTACGAATCGCATTTTGTGTCTTGCCTGACTATAAAACTGCTTGTACTCATTCTGGAAATACAACATTGAGAACATTGAGATTCTGAAAATTGTTGAAGTGTGTATTGACAACTTCAAGCAGAGCTGCGCATATCATTGGATTCGTGAGATCGTGGAGAACACGATAGGCGATAGCAAGTAGACTATTGCCGACTAAGGTGTTTACGATCCTAAGACCTTCTCAGTCCCCCGCTCAACCCTCTCACTCCTCTCACCCAAATCAGCCATCGATCCCTCCTCATATTCCTCCACCTCCGCTCACTCTCTCGCTCTTGGTCATTCCCTCTCTCTCCAGCCCTCCCACACTGCCCCCCCTTCCTCCTCCTCTCTTGCTCCTACTCTCACGGGACAGAGGCTTGCCACTCGTTACGCCTCTGAATCCTCACCCACTCTCATATCAGCAGCGGAGGCATCGGCGGGCTCTTTAGTTTCAGGTGTTTTGCCAGGTGGTTCTCATCGGGAGGGTGCACCGTTGCTGGAGTTGACTGCTATGGGGGGAGGCTCAGGTGGTGGCGCTGCTGCTGATGCTGCTGCTGAAAGAGAAGCTGATGTGATTGAATGCACCACTGCAACAGGTATGGATCCCCAATTCCCAATGCTAGACCCCATTCCCTACCACAATCTTGGATCCCAACACACACACTACCCTCAATTGGTTGCTCATCATACCTCAACTTTTCTTGCCCTCCCTATTCTCTTCCCTTCTTTCCCCTTTCCCGCTACTTCCCTCCCCTCCCCATTCCCTCACATCACACCACGTCGCATTCACCACATAGAAGGCTCGTGCCTCACTCACCTCTGTCAACATCCGCACCCCCAACCTCCAATTTAACCCTTGCCCCTCTGACCCCCCTCGTGCCCTCACTTCCCTCCCCCCAGGTCGCATTCAGCGCATAGAAGGCCCGTGCCTCACACTCTCCTCTGTCATCATCCGCACCCCCAACCTCTGCCACACCCTCTACCCCTCCTCGCTCTCCTTCTCCCTCCCCCCCGGCGCATCCCTCCTCGTCATGGGACCCCCCGGCTGCGGAAAATCTTCCCTCCTGCGAGCCATTGCCGGCCTGTGGAAATTCGGAGAGGGAACCATCGAGTCCCCGCCGCCCGGAAAAACTTTTTTCCTGCCCCAGAAGCCGTATATGCCACTCGGGACGCTCCAGGACCAGCTGGTTTTCCCCGGAAATGCTCTCAAGGGAGGTGGAGGGGGAGAGGGCGGGGGAGGGGGAGGAGGCGGAGGGTTGGAGGGAGATGGGAGCAGCGGTGAGGAGGGAGGGGGGAGTGTGAGGGGAGATTTTTCTGATAAAGAGCTGTTGCACGTGCTTCAGGAGGTTTCACTTCCTGATTTGGCTGAACAGGTGGGCGGGCTGGCTGTGGAATGTGACTATTCTGACATGCTTTCTATGGGGGAGCAGGAGCGGGTGGCGTTCGCTCGTCTTCTTCTGCAGCGGCCGTACATGGCGTTTTTGGACGAGGCGGCGAGTGCTCTGGACGGGGCGAATGAAGCGCGGCTGTATGGGATGATGCGCGAGAGGGTGAAGTCGTTTGTCAGTGTGGGACACAGGACAAGCTTAATTAAGTTCCACACTTTGGTCCTGACTTTTGACAAGGATGGCGAGGGGTGGGAAGTGGTCACTTCGGAGGATTTTGGGAGAAGAAAGGGGATCTGATGGGGTTGCAGTTTGGATTCTACCATTTACTCTCTGTATCATACCGTAACAGTTGCTAAATTTCCCTGTGTGTTTGTGAATTTGAACCCAGTTGTTATATCTGTACGCATCCAATTAGGCTAATCCTGCAGCGGAGAACTTCAGATCGCGTATTGCTGCTGAGTCAATGCCAGTTGTTTCGTGTTTCACAAGTCTTGCTGTCCCGCAATATCTGGAATTCACTCTGACAGATGTATCGCAATTCACCACTTCAACTTGCTGCTTGTTCAGTTGAGGTCATCGATCGGGAAGGTGAGTTGCGATTCAAAGCGGTGAAGTTATTACCGCATTGCGTTGCACAGCGTCGTACTCAACCGTTTTGATTAACCTGAAGGCCCAAATCCTCACGCAGTGTTGCCAAGCATATTTGTCCAAATCCAAAAACCTTTCAACGTGGTGTGAATTGAGGTGAAAAGCGCGGTGTGCGGAAATAGCATATTCGTTCTCCTACCCTTCCTTCAGAAAGTCGTTCTTTCTTCAGAAGCAACAGTTCTTATTGTTTTTATGTATCTGGTTGAAGTTCATTTACAAACTTGCCGTCGGCAATGAGCCTGCCGACATTAAAGGATGTCGCCGGCGGGAAGGTGTCGCCGCTTTTCGTCGCAGTCGTTGTCGCAACTTCCGTTGTCGCACTACACTGGGTGGCTATTCGATGGTCCAGCGCATCTTACGGCGCATCCGACGGCGCGTCTGGCGGAACAAGCTGGAGCGGCAGCTGGTGGTTCGGGAAGCGGGTAGAAAGCGGCGAATGCGGCGTGAGATGCGGAACCGAGCTGAAAAAGATCAGGAGGAGGAAACGGAAGGGTCGCCGGGCAGATGGAGGAGAAGAACAGGTCCACGTGGCAGGAGAAGAAAACAGTCAGGAATTCGATGATGAGGATGAGTGGGACGAGGAGGAGGAGGAAGAGGAGGAGGAGGAGGAGGAGGAGGAGGAGGAGGAGGAGGAAGGAGTGGAGGGAGAAGGAGATGAGAAGCCGCAAAGGGCGTTTCGTAGGGTTCTTGCGGATAACTCAAGAGCTCCGTTTCAGCACCTGAAACGAATTGAATCGGCTTGTAATGAGGATGAGGACGAGAGTGAGGATTCAGGTGCGTTTCTCAACCCAGTTTTGGTTTCCAGCTCTTTCCTTTCAATTATACCAGGACTTTCCAGTGATCTATGGCGTTTCATGTCAAAACACAAGGTGACTTTTGAGTTGACTCAAAAGTCACCTCTTTTCTTTCAATCATACCAGGACTTTCCAGTGATCTGTGGCGTTTCATACTTTTGAGGCGCCTCAAAAGCTCTTTTCTTATAAATATACCAGGACTTTTCAGTGATCTGTGGCGTTTCATATCAAATCACATCCGCCTCTTTCAGGTTGCGTCTAATTCGTCCTTCTTTCCCTCCTCTACACCCATTTTTGGATAACCAGGAGATCTACATCCATACGGCGACGAGATCCGCCACCTTATCCAGAATCCCCCTTTGCCCAACCACGTGCTGCCACCTGGCACCACAGCACCACCAGCTCTGAATGACCCAGGTGTCACAACCTCATTGGTCCTCCCTTCCCAAGCACCCTCCTCCTCGTCCTCCACCTCCTCCTTCCACTGGGTATCCACCAAGCAGCAGCTAGCATCCCTAGCAGCTCTTCTTGAAACCCAGGACGAATTTGCAGTGGACACAGAGCAGCACAGCCACCGCTCCTTCCTCGGCTTCACTGCCTTGATCCAGGTGGGCCCATTCCCTCCGTGAGTGACTTCCTGCCAGCTGCTCTGTTCCTCCTGCCAGCTGCTCTGTTCCTCCTGTCAGCTGCTCTGTTCCGCCTGCCAGCTGCTCTGTTCTGCCTGCCAGCTGCTCTGTTCCGCCTGCCAGCTGCTCTGTTCCTCCTGCCAGCTGCTCTGTTCCTCCTGCCAGCTGCTCTGTTCCGCCTGCCAGCTGCTCTGTTCCGCCTGCCAGCTGCTCTGTTCCGCCTGCCAGCTGCTCTGTTCCGCCTGCCAGCTGCTCTGTTCCGCCTGCCAGCTGCTCTGTTCCGCCTGCCAGCTGCTCTGTTCCGCCTGCCAGCTGCTCTGTTCCGCCTGCCAGCTGCTCTGTTCCGCCTGCCTTCGACGCCGTCATGGCGGACAAAGGTGGGCCCATTCCCTCCGTGCATGACCTCGTTTCTGACCAAGACCATTGGTCTTTCTGACCAAGAAGGTGAAGCCTCGTCTTTTGAGTCGACTCAAAAGTCAGCCCTTTCTGACCAAGAAGGAGAAGCCTCGTCTTTTGAGTCGACTCAAAAGTCAGCCCTTTCTGACCAAGAAGGAGAAGCCTCGTCTTTTGAGTCGACTCAAAAGTCAGCCCTTTCTGACCAAGAAGGTGAAGCCTCGTCTTTTGAGTCGACTCAAAAGTCAGCCCTTTCTGACCAAGAAGGAGAAGCCTCGTCTTTTGAGTCGACTCAAAAGTCAGCCCTTTCTGACCAAGAAGGAGAAGCCTCGTCTTTTGAGTCGACTCAAAAGTCAGCCCTTTCTGACCAAGAAGGTGAAGCCTCGTCTTTTGAGTCGACTCAAAAGTCAGCCCTTTCTGACCAAGAAGGTGAAGCCTCGTCTTTTGAGTCGACTCAAAAGTCAGCCCTTTCTGACCAAGAAGGTGAAGCCTCGTCTTTTGAGTCGACTCAAAAGTCAGCCCTTTCTGACCAAGAAGGTGAAGCCTCGTCTTTTGAGTCGACTCAAAAGTCAGCCCTTTCTGACCAAGAAGGAGAAGCCTCGTCTTTTGAGTCGACTCAAAAGTCAGCCCTTTCTGACCAAGAAGGTGAAGCCTCGTCTTTTGAGTCGACTCAAAAGTCAGCCCTTTCTGACCAAGAAGGTGAAGCCTCGTCTTCGCACCCCCGCCCGCTCGCTGTTGTTCCCGCACCAGATCTGGGCGCTGAACCCAAAATTGTCCCTGACATCACGCGTAAGCAGTGCAAAAGCCAACAGAATGCACCGCGCCAGAGAATTCACGATGACACCAACAGTACCACGATTTCGACGGATGCGTTGAAATGGGCCGACCAGCACAGGCTGCGGTGCGAGCTGGTTTTTTGCACCGTTAAGCGTGATGTCAGGGACACCTTCGCGTTCAGCATCCAGATCTGGCGCGGGAGCAGCAGGGGGAGGAGTGGGGGCACGCGAAGACGAGGCTTCACCGGTACACACTTTCTTCGCCAGAGAAGGCGAGGGGCCTTCGTTGGAAACGAGGTCAGTCACGGAGGGAAGGGGCCCACTGTTGTCCCCCATAACGGCGTCGAAGTCCTTCCACCAGGTATAGTACATCCACTGAGCACCAGGCACAAGGCACCAGGACTTTGTGCGTGACAGGTACTTTTTTAGACCTCAAAAAATCCTTCCACCAGGTATAGTACATCCACTGAGCACCAGGCACCAGGAGTTTGTGCGTGATGCCATTGCGCTGCCCGACTGTATGCGGGTCAGACATGAATTCTCTGAGCTTGTGGTTGACGCCATTGCTTCATGACAACATGAAAGAAGGTTGGTTCTGAGATGTCTCAAAAGCGACCACTTGATGATCATGAAGCCCCCTCCACCCCCTATCCCCCCACCCAGATCTTTATTCAAGACAGCAGGGACTTTATTGTTGACACCACTGTGCTGCACGACCACATAGGGGCGCCCCTCCGGCCCGTCTTTGCCAACCCTGTTGCCAGCTACCACCCTCTCTCCCCTTACCCTGCCTCCCTGCTTGTCTCACCCCACTCAGATCTCAACCCCAGACGGCAGGGACTATATCATCGACGCCATTGCGCTGCATGACCACATAGGGGACGCCCTCCGCCCTGTCTTCGCCAACCCGGCCGTCACAAAGCTGTTCCACGGAGCCGACTCGGACGTGCTCTGGCTGCAACGGGACTTCCACATCTACACTGTGAACCTCTTTGACACAGCACGGGTGAGCATGAGTATGCCCGCATGTGGCCTTAGCCAGGGGTATGTTTGGTCTCAGCCCGAGTTGACTTTTGAGTCGACTCAAAAGTCAACATGAGTATGCCCGCATGTGGCCTTAGCCTGGGGTATGTTTGGTCTCAGCCCGAGTTGACTTTTGAGTCGACTCAAAAGTCAACATGAGTATGCCCGCATGTGGCCTTAGCCTGGGGTATGTTTGGTCTCAGCCCGAGTTGACTTTTGAGTCGACTCAAAAGTCAACATGAGTATGCCCGCATGTGGCCTTAGCCTGGGGTATGTTTGGTCTCAGCCCGAGTTGACTTTTGAGTCGACTCAAAAGTCAACATGAGTATGCCCGCATGTGGCCTTAGCCTGGGGTATGTTTGGTCTCAGCCCGAGTTGACTTTTGAGTCGACTCAAAAGTCAACATGAGTATGCCCGCATGTGGCCTTAGCCTGGGGTATGTTTGGTCTCAGCCCGCCCAGTCTTTGCCAGCCCGCCCAGTCTTTGCCAGCCCGCCCAGTCTTTGCCAGCCCGCCCAGTCTTTGCCAGCCCGCCCAGTCTTTGCCAGCCCGCCCAGTCTTTGCCAGCCCGGCTGTCACCAAGCTGTTCCACGGAGCCGACTCGGACGTGCTCTGGCTGCAGAGGGACTGTCACATTTACACTGTCAACCTCTTCGACACTGCCCGGGTGAGCACGTGTGGTGTGGGCCTTGCATGAGCAAGGGAGTGACTCGGACGTGCTCTGGCTGCAACGGGACTTCCACATCTACACTGTCAACCTCTTTGACACAGCACGGGTCAGCACGCGTGTGCAAAACCTTGTGTATACAAGCATGTGCCACGTGGCATGGCATCGCAACGCAGCATTTGCACGATGGTGTGTGCGTGGCTGCAACAGGACTTGCACATCTACACTGTTTGAGCCTGTTTGACACATCTATACAGTCAAGTCAACCTCTTCACACCGCACCACACCACACCACACCAAACCGCTACTCTGCTTGTGTCTTTTTCTCCTTCATTGCGGCCGCCTTTCCCTCCTTTTCTTTTTGCTCCCTTTCTGCAGGCGTGCTTGGTCCTCAACAGTGCTTGGTCCTCAACGGTGCTTGGTCCTCAACGGTGCTTGGTCCTCAACGGTGCTTGGTCCTCAACAAGCCGTATCGCTCGCTCGCGTTCCTCCTGGACCACTGGTGGCACGGTGTTTAAACGGATCACAGTGGCCTTGTGCGATCGCACACACTCCGATGTGCTCTGGCTACAAAGAAACTTCCAGATTCAGGAAGTTAACCTCTTTTTTCTTCTTTCTTTTCTTTTGCAATTTTTTCTTCTTTTTTATTTGCTTCCCTTTTTCTTATGTGCAGGCATGCTCGGTTCTCAACAAGCAGTACCGCTCGCTCGTGTTTCTCCTAGACCACTACTGCCACGTCAGCACCGACAAGCGACGCATTCAAATGGTTTACCTGTCTGTCTATTTGTTTTTTTTTTTTTCCTACCTGCAGGCCTGCTCGGTTCTCAACAAGCCATACCGTTCGCTCGCATTTCTCCTGGACCACTACTGCCACGTCAGCACCGACAAGCGCCTGCAGCTCGCCGACTGGCGCCGCCGCCCGCTGCCGCCCGCGATGCTACAGTACGCGCGCACGGACTCGCACTACCTGCCGTACATTGCTGGCCGGCTGCGGTGGGAACTGGTTCAGGCGGACGCAGGGGGAGAGGGGGGAGACGGAGCATTTGCAAACGGAAAGGGAGAAGCGGCAGCAGGAGGAGGAGGAGCAGCAGCAGCGGCAGCAGCAGGAGCAGGAGCAGGAGCAGGGGGAGGAGGAAGGAGAGGGTCTAGGGCGGGGCACAGCAGCGGATCCAAGTATGAGGAGGCAGTGAGAAGGTCCAATGCGCTGTGCCTGCAGCTGTATGAAAAGCCGGGGGAGAGGAGCGCTGGTGCTGCTGACAGGGGTGCAGTTGGAGAGGCCGTGAGAGAGAGGAGAGAGAGGGGGGAGGTGATAGGAGGGAGTGCTGAGGCGGCAGCAGCAGCTGCGGCAGCACTTTTCCGGCAGCTGTTAGGCGTCTGTGGGTATGTGGGAGGTGCCGCGCTTCCAGGTGGGCCTTCAGGTGATTCTGCTGGTTCAGGTGCTGCTTCTGCGGCACCTGACGCTGCTGCCACGTCAGCGGGTCAGAAGACGTCGGATCGGTCCCAGGTGTTACGGGAAGTGAGGGCCGTGCTCGATGCGGTAACCAGATGGCGTGACACTGTAGCGCGGGAAGAAGACGAAAGCCTGCGATTCCTCCTTGCTGACGTGGCAGTGGTCGCCGTGGCGCTCCTACGGCCTGCCACATGTCAAGAGCTGATTGGGTGCGTGGGGAAGGCTATGGCAGCCGCTGCTGCTCTCACGCCGCCCTCTATGAGAGAAGAGGTCGGCGTTCCTCGGCCTATTCAAGGAGGCGGGAGTGGAGGGGAGAGTGGAACCGTTGAGTCAACAGAAGGTGCTGCCTTGTCTGCAGCAGTAGCGGAACAACAGGCTACTCCATCTCAGCCCGCCTCCCCTTCCCCCTCGCCTCCTCTCGTCCGTCGATCTCCCGAGCTGGTCGCGCTGATCACCGCCACGTGTCGCGACGTGAGAGGTGGCGACGAGGGGGTGCTTGATACAACAGGAGCAGCAGAGCGAAACGAGACAGCAGCAGCAGTGAACGGGGGAGCTGAAAGGGCAGTGGCAGCAGCGGCAGCAGTGCAGGCCAGACTAGCAGAGATCTCGTTCCTCCTCGCCCCGGTGGTCATTCAGCAGCGGGCGCCAGCAGCTGTGCAGGAGGCGTGGTTAGAAGAAGCAGTCGCTCTCACTGCTGCTGCTGCCGTCTCAGGCAACCTCTCCGCTGCTGCTGCTGCCGCTACAGCTGCTTCTGCTGCTGGTGCTGGTGCCAGTGGTTCTTCTGCAGAGGAAGGGGAAATCTTGCCTTCTGATTCATCCCACCAGCATCCCAGCCACCCTCACCACCACCATACCCACCCCCACCACCACCGGCCGAACCAAAACTTTCGGCTGCCCAAGCGGTGGCAGAGGGCACGCGACCCGAACCAGGCGCGGGCCAACTTCATAAAGAAATTTTCCTGCCAGGGCCCAGTGTACGAGAACTGCCGAATCTACAGCGGTGATGGGCGGCTGCTGTGCTTCTGTGATAAGAGGAAGTTAGAGTGGTATGTGGGACGGGGGTTGGCTGAGTATGTGACTGTTGACATGCTGCCGTCGCTGCAGGGGGCTGAGGAGACGGGGTTGGGGGCGAAGGGAGAAGCGGAAGTGGGATCTGCTGCTGCTGATGATGATGGTAGTGATGCAGCTGCTACAGAGGCTACTGCTGCTACAGATGATGCAGTTGCTGAGAATCCTACAGGTGCTGAGAATGCCTCTGCTGAAGCTGGTGCTGCTGCTGCTGACGGTGCTGCTGCCGCTGCTGATGGTGCTGCTGATGGTGCTGCTGCTGAAGGTGCTACTGTTGCTGCCACTGCTGATAGCACTGCACCGACAGCAATAGACCTTCCACCCACCCCACTCCCCCGCAACCTCGCCTCTCCCCTCTCCGTCCGCTTACTCTTCCAACCCAAGGGCCGCCCAGAAGATGACGAAAACGAGTTCTACATCCAATCCAAGTCCAACCGCTGCGTCTCGTGTGGGGAGTCCACCCACTACCTGCGCTACCGCCTCGTTCCCTCCTGCTACCGCCACGCTTTCCCCGAGCATCTGAAGTCGCACCGGAGCCATGATATCGTGCTGCTGTGCGTTGATTGCCATGACGTGGCGCATCGTGCGGCTGAGATTTTCAAGCGGGAGGTCGCGCGGAGGTTCGGGGTTCCATTGCTGCTGTCGCCGCTGGATCGGAGGTTCGGCGGAGGGTCGGGTGAGGGTGGGGGCGAGGAGGGGGAAGAAGGGGTGGGAGAGGAGGAGAATGCAGAAGGTAGGGAGGAGGGAGGTGGGGAGATGGAGGGTGAGGGGAGTGCGAATGGTGAGCGGAAAGGAGGAAGGGATGCGCGAGTACAGGCAGCGTTTCTGTTGAACGATGCTGCCCGGTCAGCAGTGGCAGTTTTACGGCACGGGGCATCGCTGCCCGAAAGCAGGCTCTGCGAGCTGCTTCTGCCCGTGTGGAAAGTTTTGAAGCGGGCAGCAGGCAGCCCGGTGAAAATCGAGGAGCTGGAGATGGTGGTGCAGGCAGGGAAGGGGACCAGAGTGCGGGCAGGAAAAAGAAAAGGTTTGCCCGTTGTGGGCCAAAGGGAGGCTCTACAGAAAGCGTTAGCTGGGCTGGGTGGAGGGGGAGGGGGAGAGGGAGGAGAGAGAGAGGGGGATGGGAGAAAGGAGGTTGTGCAAGCAGAGGGAGCAGGTGACGGAAATGAGGTCAAGGGGGCAGATGCTGGTGCGTGTGAGGGAGTGAGTGAGAAAGTAAGTGAGGGAGGGGGCGACCAATCCTGCGAGACTCAAGAGGAGGATACCCTGGGACTAGCAGCACCTGACCTCACCTCACTCAACCTCTCTGCAACCCCCGCCATCGAGCCAGTCCCTTTAAGGGGCCACTGGGAGCACGGAACAAAGGTTGTAGCGCTGCTGCTGGAGGGGGGTGGGGAGGCGGGGATAAGGGAGTTCACGCAGCAGTGGAGGGAGGTGTTTGTGGCGGCGCTACAGCCGCGCTTCCTGCCGCCCGGGTGGGATGTGCAGCACTTGGGAAGACGGCAGTTTGGGGAGTTTTCCGTTTACAATCCACAGAGGCGGCGGTATGTGAAGGGTGATGAGGCAGGAGGGGAGGGTGGGGAGGGAGAAGGAAGGGGAGGAGGGGAGGGAGGGGAGGGAGAAGGGGAGGAAGTTTAAGGACCCTGAGTTCTCGGAGGGTGGTGGGGAGGCGGGGATCAGGGAGTTCACACGGCAGTGGAGGGAGGTGTTTGTAGCGGCGCTACAGCCGCGCTTCTTGCCGCCCGGGTGGGACGTGCAGCACTTGGGGAGACGGCAGTTTGGGGAGTTTCCGTTTATAACCCGCAGAGGAGGAGGTATGCGCGGGAAGAAGGGAATGAGGGAGGGAAGGTGGAGGAGGGAGGAGAGGGACGAGACGAGGGAGGAGGGGAGGAACGGGAAGAAGAGGAGGGGCTTTAAGCTACCGTAACTTGCAGGTGCGGAATTATGCTGGGGGGAGAGGGATGGGAAAGGAGGGGTGGGAGGAATGGAGGGGAGGGAGGGAGAAGCGGAGGAGCTATAAGTTACCTAGGCGATTCTTGTTTTGTCGGGTTCAGGGATGCGGAAATCACCCTTCGGCTTTTGTCGAGCATCAAACCAGGAAATAGAAAATAAACAATCCAATGAAGCCGAGATTGAAGTGTTTTGTGCATTCCTGATACAAGGTTGGCCTGGTATGAGGCTGTAGTAACATGCTCTTATAAGTGGATTTTCCTTGGGTGTGGTGAATCTCTAAGGAGGGCCCAAATACATGATGACTGGTGTCGTGCTCAAAATTATTGAAATGTTTACAACTTCTCAGATGTATATAACAGCCAGGCGAAACTTTTCCGAAAGGATCTCGTGATAATAGATAGAGCAGCCCATATATATGTATATGCATGCTCATATACTGCTTTGCAAAGACAACTCCATGAAAATATGTTGCTACAGCATGTGCGGTCGACTTTCAAAACGAAGCTTTATATCGGAGACCGTTTTCACTGTCATTCCCTCCAAGCTACCGTTTGTTCGCCTCCAGCGCATTCGTTTGTAGCACGGCGAACAGAATCTCCCGTGTACTCCCACCTTCGTCTTGCTTATAACGAGCCCCGCGCGACCCTTTCGATATAAAGCCAGAGCCTCTGACTTGGCTGGCGTAGAAGGCGAATATGGTGGGGCCGTTAGGGCAGTACCGCCCTGGATTCCTCCAAACCGAACCGTCATCCTCCTTTCCCGCCGCATTCCCCGTCGAGATCGAGTGGGGATTGGGCAACGAGCTTCTGATCTGCGCTCCGGCCGCATATGTCGCCGCGTCCGACGGCGCGTTTCAAGGAAGGTCGGACGACCGGCATGATGACGTGGCGGGACGCGGGTCGGCAATTGTCAGCGTGACGTGGGCGGACACGTCATCGTTCCACCGGCAGATCGCAGCGGGGGCGTCGTCGTTGTACGGACGACTGCAGGCGGCGATTGCGGCGGAAATGGCGGAGGAAGCGGAAGACGCGGAAATCGACGAGCGGCGCGAGAGGTAGGTCGTGTGTTGAGACTGTCTCGAAGCGCGTATGGCTAAGTTTTTTACTCTTGACGCGCCTCAAAGGGGGAGGGGGAGGGGGAGGGGGGAGGGGGAGGGGGAGGGGGGAGGGGGGGAGGGGGGGAGGGGGAGGGGGAGGGGTTCAGCCTGGTGCAGTGACATGACATGAACCACCCTTGAGTTGAGACATTGAGTCGTAAACGTCACTTCAATTAGCTTTCTATTCTCGGCATGCCATACATATTGTTTCAATTGTATAAATGTCATGTTGTCAAATGAACTTTCAAAAGTTGTTTCTTCCTTTCTTTCTTTCAAAATGTAGTTCCTTCGAGAGAGGGAGAAAAAAGTTTCCGTTATCCTTGTGTCGCTCCTCCAGATGGCGACACGTCAGCAGGTGGTCTCGCCACGTCAGCAGGCTCCTCTCTCCACCGTCCTCCCAGTCCACGCTGGCAGCTGCGCGCGCCTCGCCCCACTCCCTCGGGATCTCCGCCGCTGACCCGTTTGCAGCGATAGATGTTGAAGAGAGGGAGGAATGGGGGGACGAGGTAGGTTCTCTGAGGGAAAGAGAGGGGGGAGGGGCGTTGATGGTACTTTTGAGAATCGTGAGGCTGGGCGCATGGGGAGACGAGGTGGTTGCATGTGATGGAAGGGATGAAGTGGGGTTAGCGTCCTCGATTGAGTGATTGAGGATGCGTGGGGTTTGTGAGACGGTTAACGGCCTCGATTTCAGCTGCTCCGGATCGCATTTCACTTCACGTGTCGTTTCACTTCCACAAGTCGATTCTCTTTTTCATTGCATTGCAACAACTTCAATATATTTGCCACCCTGCCAACGCTCCCTCCCTTCCTCCTGCCAGCCTACCAACCAGTCTCTGCCACGTGGCATCACCCAGGGTGAGCTGGCAGCGGTCTGGGACCTCCTCCGCCTCTGCTTCCTCCCCGACCACACACCTGGCTCTGCTGACGTGGACAATGACATGGACACTCGCATGGGTGGCAGTGCTGACGTGGACAGTGCATTCAGGGGAGCAAGAGGAGGAGTAGGGGGTATCAGAGGGATGGAGGCAGGTGGCAGGGGCGGCAGCAACAGCAGCTTCCGCTCCTCTCCGCCCTCCTCCTACCCCCTCCTCCTGCCTCCTCCCTCTGCTGCTCCTTCCACCCCCACCTGTCAGCCCTTCGTCTCCTGGCTTGCTGTGAGTGGAACCGTTGTTTTGACTGCCAATCGACTTTTGAGTCGACTCAAAAGTCACCTGTGAGTGGAACCGTTGTTTTGAGACGTTCCCTGTCGTCACCTGTCGCACTTCTTCAAACCATTGTTTTGACTTCCAATCTCTCTTATTCATTCCCGGCTCTTCTTTTCTCCTCTCCGCCTCCTCCTTTCCCCTCCTCCTGCCTCTTCCCTCTGCTGCTGCGTCTGCACCCACCACTCAGTGCTTCGTCTCTCTCCTCCCTTCCTCTGCTCCCTCATGCGCTCTGATTCGTCTACTCTTCTCACCGCCGCCTGCTGCTGTTCTAGCTCTTCCCTCAATTCTCTTTCTGACCACCCGCCTCCTTCCCTACCCACACCCCCCCTCTTCCCTACCCACGTCCCCCCCTTCCCTACCCACACCCCCCCTCTTCCCTACCCACGTCCCCCCCTTCCCTACCCACACTCCCCCCACCCCATGAACTTCTTTGCTCTCAGTGAAACCACCATTTTCTTCTCTTCTCTTGCACTTATATTTTCTCCTTGACCATTTCTCTTCTATTTTCCTTTTCGTTGCTCTATTTGACGTTGTTCCTCTCTTTTCGTCTCTACTCGTTGCTATGTCCTTCCTCTTCCTCCTCCTTCTCCGCACCCCATCTTCTCCTCCCCACAACCCTAGCCGGCCACACCCGGCCACACCTCTCATAACCCTTCTTCACCCTGCCATCTCGTGCAGCACTGCTGACGTGAACTGTTTTTTGCTTCCGCATTCCCTTGCTTCCTGTCCATCCCCCCATCCCTCCCCACACACCCCTCCCCTTCCCCACCATCCCGCTCCCAACAGCAATACAACGCGTTGCTACCTCCTTGCAACACGTCCACGTCAGCATGCCTCCGGTCCTTGCGGGATCAAATGAGCCAATCAGAGGTGAGCCAATTAGAGGTGGCCTATCAGAGGTGAGCCAATCAGAGGTGAGCCAATCAGAGGTGAGCGGACGGGTGGATTTTCTAGGGTTTCATGTACCCTCTTCCCTCCCTCTCCCCACTCTCTTCTCACCCGTTAACTACCCTCTCTTCCCATCCGCTTAATCCCTCTTCCCACCCTTGTCTCATTTTTCTCGCTGATTTTTCAGTCCCTTGACATGCTTTCCGTTTTCCCTCCTCTCGCCCCACTTCGTCCCTTACTCTCCCTCCTCTTTTCCCCCTCCTCTCCCTCCTCTCTCTCCTCTTCTCCCTCCTCTCCCCTCTTGTCATCTCCCATCTCCCACCAGGCCATTCCTCCAGAGGTTCTTGAGCCCTATTGGCCGGCTGTGGCTTCCTGCGCTGCGATTGGCTGGAGAGACACGGCGGTATGCTGCCTTTCCTCCCATAATTTTTTATTTTCTTTTCTTTTATTTTTTTTCAGGGAAGGCATTAGTGTTACAGCTAAACTAACGACTTTCTGTAGGATTGGGAAATCGAGAAATGATTTGCCACTCCTGTCCAAGCAGCCAAAAATACTCGTACTGAAACTTGTCCACCAATTGCCTCCTTTTTTGTAACCTAAATGACCTTGCTTGATTTTGACATGTCTACCCCCCCCCCCCCCCCCCAGCCCTAAATAAAACCCGATATTCAGAACCTCAAACTTTCAATGCACAATTTTCGAGGCGCCTCAAAAATCGTCTCATGACTCGCGGTTTTCGAGGCGCCTAATAAATCGTCTCATCACTCGCGGTTTTTGAGACGCCTCATAAATAAAACCGGAGATCCAGGACCTCAAACTTTCAATGCACAATCCCTTCTTCTAAACACATTTTCAAGGGCTGGGGTAAGCTATTGCAGTGCTACTCGCAGAAATGCCAATCCTCCTCCTTCACGCCCCTCCCATCCCGCTCCCCACCATATCCCTGCCCCTCCCCACTCCCCCCTCATCTCTCCCAGACGGCTCTGCTCCACATGCACTCATCCTATCGTGGGGATAAGGTTATCCAAAGAGAGGCGGAGAACGGGCTGGTGGAGGCCGTGGCAGTGGCAGTGCCGCTGGCGGAGAGGAGATGGTGGGGAGCGGGAGGAGATTTTGACATGATTCATCCCCTCCTTTCCCACTCCTCCCCCTTCGCCTTCTCCTGCTCCCCCGGACGGCCCTACTGCGTTTCCACTCGTCATACCATACCGTGAGGATCAAGTGGTTGAGAGGGAAGCGGAGAACGGGGCAGTAGAGTAGAGGCCATGGCAGTGCTGCTGGCGGAGACGCCCATCATCCCACTCACTCCCTCCCCTTTCCCCTGCATTTGCGCCCAGACAGCTCTGCTCCGATGTCACTCATCCTACCGCGAGGACCAGGTTATTCAGAGGGAGGCGGAGTACGGGCTGGTGGAAGCAGCGGCAGTGCTGTTGTCTGGCGGAGATGTCAATTTACCCCTTCCCCACTCCCTCCCCACTCCCTCCTAACCATATCCCCGCCCATCCCTCCCCCTCCGCCTGCGCCCAGACGGCTCTGCTCCGTTGTCACTCATCATACCGCGAGGACCAGGTCATTCAGAGGGAAGCGGAGAACGGGCTGGTGGAGGCCGTGGCAGTGCTGCTCGCAGAAATGCCGATGCCGCTTGAGCCAATGGCGGCGCACGACGCTGCTGAGGTGTCGGCGTATTACAGGGTGAGCCCAGAGCTGCGTCAGCGTGGTTCGTGAGTCTTTTTGCCATTACCCACGTGGCTTGTCAGTGTTGTCGTTGCCCTTGCTCCTTCAATCCGGGGACAAGCAGATGGTTCTTTTGAGAATTCTCAAAAGTCACTCCAATATAGCTTCAAACCCAACCCAACCTGACCTGACCTACCCCTCCTCTTTCCCCCACCCACCCACCCTCCCATTCTTACACCTAAAACCCCTCTTATCCTTCTCACCCCTCTCACACCTTGCAGCATCGTGACCATTGGAGGAATCGCGTTGCTCGCCTTTCTGGGCAACGGCAGATGCGCCGGCCACCGAGAGATCACTGCTCACCCTGCTGGACCTGCTGCCTTAGACCCCGATGCACACCCAATCTCACCATGTTAAGCCCCAACCCCAACGCTTCCTGGCTTGCAGCAGCGCGATTATTGGAGGAACAGACTCGCTCGCCTCAAGGCCAGTCCTTTCTGGGCGGCAGCAGACGCGCCGGCCACTGAAGGAGCGCTGCTCGCCCTGCTGGACCTGCTGCTGGGAGGACCTGCTGAGCCTTAAATCATCAAATCTCACCCTGCACCTGCTGCTTGTGTTCTGTTCTGTGCCCTTGGCCCTTGCAGCATCGTGACCATTGGAGGAACAGACTCGCGCGGCTGAAAGCCAACCCCTTCTGGGCGGCAGCAGACGCGCCGGCCACCGAGAGAGCGCTGCTCGCCCTGCTCGCACTGCTGCTGTGAAGCTCACCCCTCTCACCCCTCTCACCCCTCTCACCCCTCTCACCCCTCTCACCCCTCTCACCCCTCTCACCCCGCTCACCCCTCTCACCCCTCTCACCCCTCTCACCCCTCTCACCCCTCTCACCCCGCTCACCCCTCTCACCCCTCTCACCCCTCTCACCCCTCTCACCCCTCTCACCCCTCTCACCCCTCTCACCCCTCTCACCCCTCTCACCCCTCTCACCCCTCTCACCCCTCTCACCCCTCTCACCCCTCTCACCCCTCTCACCCCTCTCACCCCTCTCACCCCTCTCACCCCTCTCACCCCTCTCACCCCTCTCACCCCAAACCCGCTTCCAGCATCGTGACCATTGGCGCAACCGTCTCGCACGCCTCAAGGCAAGCCCTTTTTGGGCGGCGGCAGATGCGCCGGCCACCGAGAGGGCGCTGCTCGCCCTGCTCGACCTGCTGTTGGGGAGCTCCCGGGCCGTTGATGACGTGGCGCGCTCCCATTGGCTGGAGCTGCTGGGGGCGCGGCTGTTGCACCAGAACCCGCAGGCGGTGAGTTGAGGGACTGAGGGGTTGAGATGGGCTGGTTGGGCTGGGTTGGGCTGGGTTGGGTTGGGTTGGGTTGGGTTGGGTTGGGTTGGGTTGGGCTGGGTTGGGTTGGGTTGGGTTGGGATGGGTTGGGTTGGGTTGGGTTGGGATGGGTTAGGATGGTTTCAGCAAGGACTCACCTTCCTTTCGCCCTGCACCCTCTTACCAAACGATGGCATCAGTGGGAACAGGAAGGCCTTAGCTCCCTTTCCCATCCCCCCTGCACTTCTTCTTCCTCCCGTTCCATTTCCAACAAACGGCAGCAGCACAGGCGTCGCTCGCACTGCAATGCTGGCGAGAAGCGGCAGGTAGGAGAGGGAAGAAGCAAGAGCAAGGCCTTACTCAAATCCCTTTCACCCCTGCACCCCTTGTTTCTCCCCTTCTCTTGCCAACAGACAGCAGCAGTACAGGCGTCGCTCGCACTGCAATGCTGGCGGGAAGCAGCAGCGGGCGGCGGTGGGAAGAGCGGTGGGGCATCTCAGCCGTTGGATGCTTCGGATCTCGTCCAGCCGTCGCTGGATCGGCTCATGCTTGCGTCCTTGTGCCGTGAAACAGAGGTGGGGGAAGGAAACGGCGCGATTCTACATTCTTGAACTGGGTGTACTTGAATGTTCAGTTTTTGAGGCACCTTGAAAATGTTCAGTTACCTGCTGCCATCACCATACCTGCCATATATCTGCCAGATTCCGTGGTTGTGTTTATAAGTTCATCTGCATGTTGTCGCCTCGGCTTGTTCCATCTTGAGGTGATTTTTGGTCCGCACCGCAGCATTGAGGGGATCTTTGAGGCGCCTAAAAAATCGTCGCAATGCAAAGCTGGCTGGTTCCCATCCCATCCCATCCCACTATCCTCTGGTCCTGGCCCGCGTTCCCTGCTTCTCCTTCAACTTCTGCTGCCTCTTATTTGCCGTTGACTGGGCACGATATGGCATGGCATGGCATGGCATGGCATGGCATGGCATGGGACGGGACGGGACGGGACGGGATGGGATGGGATGGGATGGGATGGGATGGGATGGGATGGGATGGGATGGGATGGGATGGGATGGGATGGGATGGGATGGGATGGGATGGGATGGGATGGGATGGGATGGGGTGGGGTGGGGTGGGGTGGGGTGGGGTGGGGTGGGATGGGATGGGATGGGATGGGATGGGATGGGATGGGATGGGATGGGATGGGATGGGATGGGATGGCATGGCATGGGATGGCATGGAATCGTATGTCATGGCATGGAATGGCATGGGATGTCATGGCATGGCATGCACATGCACATGGCAGGTTGTGGTGTCCATAGCATCTCGACTCCTCCCTTCCTGGTGCGCCCTCCTCCCTCTGCCTTCCCTTCCCATTCTCCTTTCTCCCCCTATCCCCTTTCTAATATCGATTTTCATTATGCTCCCCACCTTGCCCCACCCCCTCTTTCCCCTCACCCGCCGTCCTCCTCTCAACACCCATGCGTTTCCACTCGTCACTCCAATGAATCTCCTTACTCCCTCCCTCTCTCCCTCCAACCGCGTTCCTTTTCCGCTCCTGGTTGTTAGAAATAGGCTGTCAACACTTTGTGTACTATATTCTATATCGCGTAGGTTATTTGCGGGTTGGGTGTAGTTTGTAATCCCAACCCTATCTGGTTGAGATTCCCTCGTAATCCTGCAAATCTGCCAACTCACCAATTGGAGATTTGCTAGGATTCCCATCCCATCCTTTCCCTAGCTTTGCTCAACCCAACCTTGTTTGTACTTAAGGCCTAGTGCCTTCTCTACTAAGCAATTAGTTCAGCTCCAATTCTATCACTGATTGCCTCTCCCCCTTTTCTTATCGTCCCCCTTGTTGCCCCCGCAGTTATCTCTGCTGCCTTCCTGCCTTCCGACTATCCTCTCCCCTCCCACCCCACGTCCCTCTCATCCACCCCCTCCTCCCCCTCAGTTCCCCCTTTTGATCTTTCTTTTCTTCAAATCTGAACTTGCAGATTTTAATGGCGCGGATTATTACCCGTTGTCTTTAGCGAGCCTGCTTGCATGCTGACACCCCACTCCTCTCCATCCCTCCCCATCCCTCCCCATCCCTCCCTACCCTCTCACCCACCCTCTCATCCCCTATCAGGTTCCTAGTGCAAGTGATTGAGCTTCTCTCACTTCCCTCGCCGTCCCTCTCCGCACTACCAGCCAAACAAGCCGCTGCAGCTGCCGCCCAAAATGCTGCCTCTGCCGCCCGGGAGCCATCCACAGCAGATGGTGCTGACATCAGCGGCCTGTCTGTTCTGGATCTCTGCCGGGTGAACTACGCCATGGACCTCCTATCAGATGCTGCCACGTGGCAGGTGAAATCTTGGTCATTGATCCTCCAGTCATTCTCCTCCATGCATACCAAAGGGTGTCCTGCGCACACATTTACATGGATATATCTAGCATGGTTAGATACAAGAATCTGGGATTCTCATTATCTAATCCCCCTCTCCTCTCTGCTTTGTGTTCCCACTCTTCTCCTCCCGCCGCACCTGCTTCCCCCTTCCCCCCTCCCACTCTCCCCAGCTCGCCCTCCCCTACCTCGCCCCATGCCCACCAAGAGAACCCTTCATAGAGCAAGCCCTGTTGTGCCAGCCAGTCACAGTCACCACACACACCAGCATCTCAAAGACACTCTTCCTCCTCGACTCATACGCCCCTGCCTGCTACCCCTCTGCTGCCGCCTTCCTCTCACGAGTAAGTGCTAATTAACCCGTAAGTACACAGCAAGTGCTGCTGGCACAGCCAGTCTTGGCCACCACCACACACACCAGCACCGTCAAAACCCTCTTACTCCTCGACTCATACGCCCCTGCCTGCTGCCCCTCTGCTGCCGCCTTCCTCTCACGAGTAAGTGCTTCTGGCCATTCATACAGCAAGTGCTGTGCTGCTGTGTGCCTACGGTCACTCCCACCCACCCACCATGACATGCCAACAACCATCACCCATCACCCTCACCTATTAATGTCTGCAGCACACCCATCACCCTCTCCTTTCTCCCTGCACCCTTCACCCTCACCTTGCTCCCTTCACCTATCCCCCCCACCTTTCTCCCTGCACTTCACCCATCACCCTGCAGTTCACTGACCATTCAACCCTCTCTGTCTTGCTTGCTTGAGAAAGGGGGCAAGCAAGACAGAGAGGGTTGAATGGTCAGTGAACTGCAGGGTGATGGGTGAAGTGCAGGGAGAAAGGTGGGGGGGATAGGTGAAGGGAGCAAGGTGAGGGTGATGGGTGTGCAGGGAGAAAGGTGAGGCACAACAAGCACTTCTTCTGTTTCTTTCCAACATGCCCACCTGCACTTCTTCGGACTCTGGTCAGCATACCCTTCCCTTCTCCAACACGCCCTCCCCCCTTTCCCCACCCTCCTCCTTTCCCAATCCTCCTTCCCCCCCTCCAGTCTGCTGCTATGGCTGCTGAGACTGTAGAAGCCTGGCTCTTCGTCTCCTTGCTCAACACCTCAGTTCTCCCTCCCGTCCCCCCTTCCCATCCGCGTTCCCCTCCGCGCCCCCTCTCCCGCCTCCAGTCTGCTGCAATGGCATGTTGGGACTCTAGAAGCCTCGCCACGTCGCGCCATGTGGCGAGCGTCTATTGGATGGCAGCGGCCGGTGCACCAGCAGCAGCGCCTATGGACGCGCTTATCCTTTTCCTCGCAGACGAGCTGCTGGTGCCAGCCATCAGGGGGAGGCTGCATCTGGTGCAGGGCGCACCTGGCTCAGGTTCAGGTGGTGCCAAAGAGGGAGCAACAGCAGGTGCAGCAAGAGCAGCAGCGGCGCTGGATGCTCTGAGGAATAGCAGTGGGTCGACCGGACAGAGTCACTCGGCTCTTGAATACTTGCTCTCGTAAGTCGTTTCCTGCCCTTTGTGAGTGCGTATGTGTGTGATTTGTAATGTTGCCTTATAACGCATTTCATGACCCTGCCATTACATATCTTCATGTGCCACGAGTATTCCCCCACAAGCTCGAGATTCTGTATATCCGTGTGAGCATTTTTTCTTTTGTCAACGTCTCCTGTCCCTTCCTCACAGCTCATGAAAGCTGGTCAAAAAGCTTACGTTGCAACGGACAACGTCATTTGCTTCTCCCCACCCCCACCTCTCCACCATTCTTGAACCGTACCCTACCCATGCGAAACCCAGTGCTCCTGTCTCTTCCTTGTAGCGCATGGGAGCTGGTCCAAGAGCTTGCAAGTGCACCAAACAACCTGTCGCTCCTCCCTCTCACCACCTCCCACCTCTTCCCACCCTTGAACATACCGATGGGAACCTGGAAATCTGTTTCGCCCCTCCCTTTCTTGCAGTGTATGGGAGGTGATCAAAGAGCTTACAAGCGCACCCGACAACCCATTTTTCCTCCCCTTCCCCCCTCTCTCCTTCGCCCGCCCTTGTACCATACCATACCTATGCACAATCGCCCACCTATCCCCTCCCTACCTCACAGTGTATGGGAGCTCGTTAAAGAGCTCACAGGTGCACCTCTCAACCCAACCGTTCCTCCCATCCTTCGTTTCCCAACTCACCCATGCGCTCTCACCCACCTGTCCTCTCCCTTCCTCACAGTGTATGGGAGCTGGTCAAAGAGCTGACTGGTGGATCAAACAGCCCAGTGTCGCCCTTTTTTCCTGCCACCACTGCTACTGCTACTCCCGAGCCAATCCAACAAAGCCACCAGGCGGACCGGCTAGTGCAGGTCAGTGAGAACACGTATGCTGTAAGCCAAGAAATTCTATCATGGAGCACTGACCAATCACACGAGCTGGTTCTGGTGTTTGTTTGGCGGAACGGGGAGCGATCTAATCTCATGGTTATTGTTTTCCTCTTGCCTCGTTTGTTGTTTCAATTCCATGTATCCTATCTTCTTGTTGGTTCTCTGTCACTCTCAGGCCATGCTCCACACCTCATCACATTACCCTCGCGTCTTCCTCTCTCTGTCTCATCTCATGGTAAGCAGCGGCAGTTACCGTAACCAGTGTCAGCTGTCATGCCTAGTGCCTAATACGGCATGGTAAATGGCTTATTGTCCCAGGAGGAGCTCTGCCACTGCCTCGGCTACAGTGCGATTGCATCTGCTTATCTGAAAAGCTACACCAGGGACTCTTGCTTCGAGTCAATACATGTGTACCTCTCGATGCATTCTCCAGTCCATCTCAAATCAGATTACTTCAAAATCATCTCTGTCTTCATCAGCTTCTTCCTGCCACCTGAAAATCCCTCCTGTTATCCCCTTCCGTTCCGTTTCCATCCCATTCCACTGGCAGGCTCATGTGCTTCAGAATCGCTCCCTACCGTTCAAAGAGGCCCACATCTCTGCGCTCATTAGCTGCTTGCAGCACTTCTCCCCAGACTCACTCTCACAACAGCGCTCTGGCTTTAAGAATGCTCCCACTCTCACTGCCCGTAGCTTGCCTGACGCGGACAGCCAAGGAGGCATGGGGCAGGCATCGCTGTGGGATCATTTGAATAGCCTCAAATTGGCACTGGCCAAGGAGTTGAGTGCCAAGATCATGTTCCTCTGAGGCCAGTGCAAATTGTGCCAAATGTTTCATGCCAAAGGATTTCTTTGTTTTCTGATGTGCCAGTGTGCAGGATGGAGATGACAGGCAGATTGCACTAGGGTCTAAAGCTTGAGTTAGGGCGGGTCCAGCGCGTACGTTTACAGTTCATCCTGTGCGGTTGACCTTGTTGCGTCACAGTTAAAAACGGTGGAAACTGCAAATCGCTTTGAACCATTTGATGTTGTTTTGCGCCTTGGGTCATGAACTGTAAACAAACCGTAAACGTACGCGCTGGACACGCCCTTACACTACCGTATCTACGTATTAAAACCAGCGCAAAAAAAGAGTGACAGGGCGTGTGGCTGGTGTGCTTTCACTCAGTGTTGGACCCCATAAGCATTCAATACGGTATCGAGCAGTGATAGTGGTAATGGTATTGACTTCTGGTGAACAAAATCAAATCGAAACTAATGCATATGGTAGTTACAATGGCCTTCCCTCTGTGGCTTTAGGCTGGAGATGAGGACAAGAGGAAAGGAAACAAACACAGGTAGCATTCACATTACCTAAGCCAGACCCATAGTAAGGAAAAAACAAATGTTACTCTTTCCGTCGAACAATCCTAGAGTCATCCTTTCGAATCCCCATTGCTTTTTGTGCGTTCTTGATGCCCTTCGGATCTGCAATACAAAGGGGAAAATATGATAACAACAATTGAAAAGACAGACACAGCAGCAAGTGAAAGTATTCATCAACATTGATCTTGCTTAGTTTTATGGGAAAAAATATGTACCGTACAAAAAACTGGGATCTACCACTAAGAACAATAAACACAGAAACATCCACTTACCAACAAACTGTGTGAAGATGCTTGTGAAGAAACCAAAGCTTCGTGCAATGGACTGTGCCACTGGCGCTGGCAAGGGCCTGAGGAAGGTGTCTAGGCTGAACACACGACGAAAAAACTGCATACCATTCATTTCCAGAATGGCAGGCACCAAAAACGGGGAAACCAGGGACAGTAGAGGAGTTCAAGGGGCGACTGGGAAATGAGAATATGAAACCTTGAAGAATCAGAGGCTAGAAGAACAACTACAGAAAGAAACTGATACAGGTAAATAATTTGTGTACATTAATAGGAGGGGAGGGGCGAAGGCGTGGGAGGTGGTGGCGGAGAGAGTGGAAGGGGTTGGGGGAGGACAAGACACAAGAAGTGGGGAGATGTGGAGGGAACATGAATGAGGTCAAAAGGGAGGGTGGATGATGGGCGCCTTACAGAGAGGGAAAAGGAAACGGGATTATACGCGTATGTAACTAGCCAAGTGTGTGTGTGTGTGTGTGTGTGTGTGTGTGTGTGTGTGTGTGTGTGTGTGTGTGTGTGTGCGTGTGTGTGTGTGTGTGTGTGTGTGTGTGTGTGTGTGAGCGTGGTATGTGTGTGTGTGTGAGGTGTGCGTGCGTGCGTGGGTGAGTGTGTGTGTGTGTGTGTGTGTAAGTGAGTGAGCATGTGTGTGTGTGTGTGTGCGCGCGCGTGCGTGTGTTTATTAACCTTGTTATTCCTCCATGGTGGTGGTGGAAAAAAAAAAAAAAACGCTACTGGATCAAAAGGACACCCGACTCGTGTTTGCATCCAAATCACTTAGAAACAGAGTCGCAAGTCAACCTATGAATACAATTACTACGTACCATCATGTTGCGTTGAAAAGCAGCAACGAGCTCTGGGTCGAACTCGAACATAGCGTTATTTTGATTAGGCGATGCTCGTCTTCTTGACAGAGCACCAGAGGATGGTGCCATGACAGCTCCCGACTGCTCAACACAGTGTTGCAACCGAAAAAAACGTAACTCATAAACGAGGCGCACGTAGGTAGCGATCCGTTGCACATGAGAAAGACAATAATTCTGAGCTGAATGGATTCCAGGCACGAGCATGTCGCGTAAAGCTACCTCATGATGAAACTGGTGACCCTTTAGCCTACGCAGAGATAAACAGATAGTGTAAGCTGCTAACTTTATTGAGAGAACATAAAGTACAGCTACATGAAAAAGGAAGCCGTGTGCATGGAAGGGGAGATAAGCACGCGAAGATACCTTTGGCGATGCGGAAGCGCGAACGCCAAGCCCAGCAAGCGGGTTCTCCTCCTCTGCGCTTCGTGGCTTCCTCTCAAACGGCGAAGGTGCTGGACGAGGCATGATCGTGGTGAACTTGCACGCTGATGGTGAGTGGAAAGAAACGACAGTGAAGTCAGGGCCGCTACGCACACTAATGACAGAGACAGACTCTTGCCTTCACCGTGGTAATCGCCACCTATGCTATATTGATGGGAGCAGAGTTGTAAAGAAACGTGGGACAGCTAGCTGGTCAACTGTGTACGCCCGGCTTGGGTGGAGTGGAGTGTGGTTGGGAGGACTCAGGGAGTTCCATTTTGGATGACGAAATTGCGAGGGGGACAAATAAGTGCCTCGGATTGGACAGGTCAGTTCGAGGCAATGACGTGGCAGAGTTGCTTATGTCGAGGTTCTGTGTACCTTTATTACAACTAGATTGCGTGTACTACTGGTTATGTTTTCGTATTATGCGTCGCAATTGAACCGAACCAAACCCAACCGCGTCGTGAATGCGCCTCGCGTGTTGCTGAACAAGGCCTTCAGCTGACAGAGCGAATGGAGCAACATTCATTCTGGCACCGCTACTGCGCTCTGGTTTCTGTTCACAATTATCACAAAAAAGGCTTGTACGAATGAATTCCTGTGTCCGTACCTAGGAGTCTCCAAGGATGGAGGAGTCGCCTGATGTCGTCGTCGCTCCGGCCAGGAGACCTAGCGACCATGGAATGCGTAACCGGCTTAGTAGCACAACCGATAGACAGGTATTCAGCCATCAGCAATGCCTTTTCGCCTTGTTTGGATTCGTGAACATTCCTTCCTTACGTTAGTTTTTTTCAGGAACAAGGAACATTCTCAGGAGCCTCCGTATCTGAACATCCTCCACCTGTGTAAGCGTTCTAGCTCCAATATCCATTACGTCACAGTTTTTGCTCTTAGTTATCTGACACGTGTGTGCTCATTGACAGGCAACACGCCGACAATGACTTGAAACGGAGTCAGTCAGTGGCTGTTGGAGCATACCATGTTCAGGAGCCAGATGCTTCTCCTGCTGGTATTCGGAAGTATGGAAGTGGATCTTTCTTGGGTGGCCTTACCGGTAAGTCTCGTGCAGTCTTAACAAAGTCAACTTATCGTCAAAGCTTGACGTCAGTACGCGAACCATCAGGAACGCTCCCGGAAATTTCCATCAGGACATCCTTAAGCCGATCAAGGGGAGGGTCATTGGCGATAAGCCGCGATGCGGTGAGTATTCTGATTAGTAATAGCTGTATGTTTCGTCAATGCTTACTCGAAAATTATTGCAGGAAAAGGAGGCAAGAGCGGCATCAGTGTTTCCTGAAGAGAAACTCGGGTTGGCACGTATCAAAGTGGTAAGTTACTGTACAAAGTCTACGCGTTTTGTGTGATCACAGTCGCTAATGACACTTCATGCAGGAAAGGAGCAACAGTGCAGTGGGTACCCAGACCCAGGGATTGCTTTGCTCCTTAGCTCATGGAGACAAGAATTTAAATGGCATTCGAAGTGTTACACGTTTGATGGTAAGCTAAGCTGTCCGTTTTTATCTCAGGAGCTTTGCACTAAACAAGTATTTCAGAACGCAGGCCCGCAGATAAAGCAAGCTGTCTGCAATATGTGTGGTGATGCCGTGTCAGCGGATGAAGAGTACACACCATGCGAGTGTTCCTTCAGGATGTGCACCATCTGTTTGGATCATGTGCACAAGTATGAAAGAAACCGCTGTCCAGGCTGTGGAGGAGATCTTCGAAGCCGAGAGCAATGTATGCAGCATCTATATAATGTTGTGTTTTACACGTGAAGCATTTTGAGACATTTTAAACACTGTGCCACTTTTTTTCAGGGGCGATAATGCAAGCCATGCTTAATGAAACACCTCGGGCTGATGGCACTTCCTCTCCGTCGAGGCTTGCAAGAACAGAGTCAAAGCAGCTGCAAAGCATTAATGAGATTGAACAATCGGGACCTCAGGTATGCATGTGCATTTTTTTTTGCGGTTTTCTCATTTGAAAGAAATATAGCTGAAACCACCTCTTTCTTACGTCTGCAGGTTCAGGGAGAAAAAAACCTGGTTCCTCTTCATCAAGATAACAGCATCGTTCAGACCAGTCAGCCTCAGTATGGATATGGCAGTGTTGCTTGGGAGCAGCCACCCATAAAGGCACCTGATCGAGCTGTTCCGATGTACGTGGCTTGTGCTAGCGCTTGATGCTAAAATTACAGGACATATGATTAATCGTGTTATACCCTCTCCAGAGCTGATTGGAAGAAGAAGAGCTTGGCAAGAAAGTTGAGCTATCCTGGTAGCATAATCGGCCCTTACAGGTGTGTACATACTGCAAACGATATTTATTTTTTCTTCCGTTTCCCTCTTTTTCTTCGTCATCTTGACAGATGAAAGTGTATTACTATGCAGGATTGTTCTTTTCATTCGTCTTTGTTCAATCCTTGGATTTCTTCAGTATCGGGTTGCCAACCCCACAGAGACAGGATATTGGCTCTGGCTGATGTCTGTCATTTGTGAGATATGGTGCGAACGGTTTCACTAGCTGCAACACTTCGTGGTTTGTGAGAAGAGGTTTTAAGCTAATCTGTTTCTTCAAGCTTGCAGGTTTGCTGTTTCGTGGGTGCTCGACACACTTCCTAAGTTGACTCCTGTCAAGAGAGAGACGTACAAAGACAGACTGAAAGCTGTGTGAGTGTAAATTATCTGTTAAGTAAGCTTGTCATTGGCTGAAGAAATGGTTCTAACTTGCTTATTTGTAGGTATGATGACGGAGGCGAAACGCTCCCGCAGTTGGACGTTTTTATCACGACTGCTGATGCCACCAAGGAGCCACCTCTGGTCACAGCAAACACAATTCTTTCTGTTCTGGCGACAAACTACCCACCTGACAGG